CCCAAAGTCTAAGTTAATCCATGATATGACTTGACTCAAGACTGGTAATGCTCCTTTCCTTGAAAAGACTGGCTCGTATAACTTGACAATGTTAGCATATAACAATAGACCATTGAGTGTACCCACTGATACTGTTAAATTGAGAGCAATCAGTAGAACCACAAGTAGTACACCCATCACTGCAAACAGAGCAATCCAAGCTATCATCATGTAATTATCATGACACTGTCCACACTTGTTTGATCCCATTAGTAAGCTGTATCCATCTCTACATGATCCACACATTCTGTGTCCTCTATTATCTACACATTGAGTATCAGTGTCATTCAATTTGAAGGTAACAGGATTAGGAGAACAATAGAGGAGACAGTCCTCATTGATAATGCATGCATTAGGATTGGTTGCATTAGCATTGAAAGGTGTACTGGTATCATATGTTCCAATCCACAGTAGACCATTGTGTGTAATGTTTAGACTAGTTATATTACATGTCACATTCTCTCTTGAAACACTTTGACTGCAAGCACAGATAGATCTACCTTGTAAGCTATCTATACTAAAACCAATAGGACATTCATTAACAATATAATCCCAATAAATGGGATAGGGTGTTCCAATAGTAAATAGCATGGTATGTATTACATGACTGGGAGCATGGTTTGGTTTGTAACCAACCAGTGAACAATTAGTATTAGGCTTAGGTCTAGCATATACATAATCAACTGTACGAGCACTGCTTGGAGTGAGCCCATCTCGTATTTCTAATATACCATCAGTGACATTTAGTGATCCAAAGTAATCATAACCAAGCAAAACTATATGAAATTTTAGTGCTTGACCTGGATAAATCTGTTTATCACTTGCATTTTTTAAATTAGTAAAATTGCAGAACTGAATTTTTCGTACATCACCTGTTGAGCTAATGTTTGGGTTTGTCAAGTTGAAATGATTATTTCCATGATTAATAGTATATCCATATATATCATCACCAAATATTCCAGCACTATTATTTATTAATGTAAGAGGTATATTTGATGCCTCTAATGTTATGACACTATTCGATGTCTCTTCAAGATAGATCCCTCCACCTTTATAAGAAGCATGATTATCTATAAATTCCAAGTTAGCTGATGATGTTAATATCAATTGTGATGACTCATTTATTGCTAATCCTCCTCCAACTACTCCAGCATTGCTTCTTAATGTCAATTTATTCTCAATTGTTACTATCGATGCTTTAAGTTTCATTCCTGTTGAGGTATTGTTAGCAACAGTAACATTACTGAGACTAATAGCATTACTGTTCAATATCGAAGTTCCTCCATTTCCAATAAGTTCAGTATCTGTAATATTGATTTGGACCAATGTCAAGAATTTTTCATCAATGGATAAGCCTGTAATTGTGTTTTTAGATATTAAACATGACTTAATAATGATACTAATAAAGTGATTTCTATGTGTTTTAGGTAAGTATGGAATTCCAGATATTTTAATTCCATACCAATTATCATGAAATTGACTATCCTCAATTACAAAAGTAGAAATTAAATGAATACGAGGAAACTTGCACTTCTTTGGGTTCAGTTTTGCACTAAATGTAATATAAAAGACATAGTAACCAGTAAGTACTGATCGAAATGAAGAGTTCTTGATGTATAACGAAAAAAGGCTATCACCCAAAAAAAATGTAGAGTAACTATAAATTATACTATAATAATGATCAATGATGACTGATAGATTGTATGAGGTAGCGTGATGAATATTTAGGTCAAATCGACTGTCATTCACTGTGACATTAGTCAGTATTAATGAGTAATGAGGTAGTTCAGTGCTGCATACTGGAAGAGGTTCGTATGTAATAAATACTTCATAATGAACAAAAACTGAGGATGATACCTTAACATCAAAAGGATTGTTTAATCTTATTGTCATGACAGCTTCTGTTCCACTAAATAAAGAGTTAGTTATTGTAATATTGTTTGATGATCTAGCAATGACTCCAAGATTATAAACTGACATGTTAGAAAAAACAACATGACTGCTGTTATAGATGAGAATAGACCTTTTATTACTCCTGCTACCAATAAGACAAACCTGATCCAGTCCATGCAGAGTAACATTCCTTACTGCAGTCATGTTGACATCATAATTGCTAATGTTAGTAGTTCCAATGAAGTAGAAGATGCTGTTATTGTATTGAGACATATCCCCAGCATACACTGATAAAGGATTACAAGGTGACTGAATAACTAAACTGCAGTCATCAGACACATAATACTGACCAGAGGAGACACTGCAGGAGCTACTGAAGAATAAGACAACAACGACTAACAGGAGAGACATACTCTTGCTTTTTACTAATAGTTACTGTATACTTGCTGATGCAACATTAGCTTTCTTATAATAGCTCAAACTCACCAAATATGGAAATCTATAACTACACTGCAGAGTAGTCATATGAATTCAACTTGCATTATAGCTGTCATTTTATATAATTTCTAGTATGCATGATTAGAAATACTAGACTGCTTCTGTCTTCTTCTAGTTTATATCTCTCCTTATCTGGGGACCTAATTGCAGGGGCATTGTCAAGGGTGCATTAATGTCAACTGGATCTATTGTTAGGTGAATCATAGATAGTATCTTACAGGTGAACTAATGATACAATAACACTTAGATCAACTTGAGATATGGGAGGGAGGACATGTGCATGAAAACATTACTTCCAATTTTTAGATGTACATATCTAATGATTCTAAAAAAACATTCCAAAACATGCCCCACAAACCACATTCTTTGTATGCAACCACCAAATTAAACTACTTGCATCTGCTCTATATAGTTTTACTTTTTATTAGGTTTGTACTTAAAGGTCCATTGTTCATGTAGATACACTGAGTTACGATATATGTATTGCATATTAATTGGGACTATTTCTTTTTGTTTATGATAAGTTGAAGGCTCAAATATATGGCAAAGAGCATAAAAGATTACAAAAGAATTATTCTTGGCATTATCAAGAGTGCTCCTGGCACATTTTGCATTGAGCACAAATCCCCACACAATTTGTGCTATGTGTGCGTGTGTTCAAAATGTCAAGTCATCCATAAAATAAGTATAATCATATGTTTCTGTATTGTTGCTACTCAAACAGAATAAGTACATAAAAAATAAATTATATATTATTCTATATCCTGCCATCACTAAAAGATATTTCTGTTATAATATAAAATAGTTCATAATCCTGACTTGATTGACCACACCATAGCACCAACTCAAGCTTCAATCCCTAGTTTGTCTTCGACTGCTTTTTCAGAGCAAGCCACAACTGAGTTCAATAGTTTGGCTAGTCCTAATTCTCATGACTAAAAGAGAGAAAAATCATTTTAAGTTAAACTAGTATACTAACTTTTTGCAAACTGCATGAGTCTTTGATTTTAACACGTGTACAAACTCCTTTCTAATTAATTCACCGTCATCTAAATACCAATAATAATAGTAGCAAGAGTACAAAATGGCTTTGATAGATACTTGAAATAATCATGAATGTGCATATTGATCTAGCACAATGCTAAATCCATGGAAATCAATACTTGAAACTGACTATTTTCATCAAAAATTGTGAAAAGGACATCAACAAGATGACTGCTGACGGATGGGCCAGTGACAGCTTTGCAAGCTTCATTGAGCTCAGCTTTAAAAAAGAAAAATTAATAAAAAAGAGGGAGGAGCTAGTTACGATACCAGGTGTTATAGAGGTTCCAGCTGCATAATACATACCCAGTGCTGTGTCTATGTCAGAGAGACAACCCATCAAGTGATCAAAGAATTTAACATCTTCAAAATTAACACCTAAAATAAAAAGAAGGAATTTATCATCAAAAAATTAATGCACACTGTATTAAATAAAATGCTATTAATTGAAATGTTATTGATTAAATAGTGCAACTTTTCTTACCGAATTAGGTTTGGGTCCAAATTTCTTTTTAATTCTCTTGACCATTTGTTTCTTTTATTTACTGAGTGAGGCATGACGCAGGATCATGTGAGCAAAGTCTCTTTCACTAATCATCCCATCAACAAGATCATAACGTAGATAATACAGTACATGTATATACAATTAAGAGATGATAAATAATTATTATTTGATAAAATATAATTTGATAAAATATAATTTGATAAAATATTAACAAACATGTACAAAAGACATGTCACATATAGAAATGTCTACATGTGTAGACATGTCTATACATAAGGCTTGGGGTCAGTTACAAAATTTTATTTCAATTACAATTATACAATTACTACCAAAGCAACTAAAGCCAGATCAATTACAATTACAATTACTGCCATAAATGGGGCAATTATAATTGTAATTGACCCCAAGCCTGATGTAAACATGTCTACATGTCTACATGTGACATGTCTTTTGTACATGTTTGTTAAGTATTGTTCATACTTTATCAAATAATACTTTATCAAATAATACTTTATCAAATAATATTAATCATTAATGTCATATTAATAATATTAATCATCTACATGTGTAGACATGTCTCTTTTAATCATTGTGTACAAGTACATGATCATGTACAGGGTATGATCATTAATTCCTAGTACATGTACATGTTCTTACTTCTATCAGGAGTATAGATCTTGGTGTTGAGAAGAGTATGGAATTCTTGAAACTTTTCTATCGTCAGTTTCTGGTCAAGTTTCTTACCAAAAAAGTGGACTGCTAATGCTCCACCCACAAATGAAGCAAATTACCTAATATAGACAACAACCAATTAAAAATTAAATAAAAACAATTAAAAAGTAATAAAAAATCAATAATTGATTAAAAACATGAATTAAAATTAACTGAAAATCATTTTATAGCATTGTATTGCAGGTCACTTTCATGAGGTCAAACTTTTATTCTCAGGGGAAAAGGAGCCAACTAGTACGTGGGTTTAATGAAAAGGCTACTTAACGTACGTACCATTGATGACGTGGTCCCTGTGTCTCGTCATTTAGGTCAAACATCTTAAAGGCTAGCTCAAAGTGCTTCATTGGAGCTAAAACAAGAGGGAGAGGGGGGAGAGAAAGAGAGGGAGATCATATATATACATGCATACCTACATGTATGCGTATGTGACTCACTGGCTGCTAATATTGTCAATAGAAACAGGAAATCAGAGAAAGATAAGGCCATGTTGGTCTAACTTGTTAATAACACTTTGTGTTTATTGTGTTTTATTTTGTTTATTTATTGTGTCATAATCACTGCTGATGTTCTAATATTATTTTAGGAATTTAAATACTAATGCCTCTAAGAGTCACAGAGTTAACTTATGTAGTAGTTTTAGGCTCTAAATTGAGTGACAATTTTCACCCACGAGGCACACCAGCTAAACCTTAAATAATAATTTCATTTTTTTGGATGAAATGTCATGAATAATTAGAAAACAAAATATTTTTTATCACACTGAACATTCTACGTATAAAAGCTCATAGTTTCTAAAACTAAAAATAGGTAATGAAAATAGCATGATTAATTAAAAGGGGACATCAAAAATACTTTGATTAAAACAAATCAACAACTGATTCTCGTCTGACATAATCAGTAGAACTTGGTACCATGGCTCTTCTTTGTTGATCAACAGTTAGATGTGATTCAGTTGCATCTAAGAGAGGATCATCATCTTCTTCTTGTTTCTTGAATAACATCTTAATTAGAGCATCAAAACTATTCATATGTGATAACTGCAGGTAAAAATGATAAACAATAATCAAAATAAAACTAAAAATAAAAACAGATAAACAAGTATTGTACCAGATCAATACTTTACTCTCATCAGTAAAGGCTACAGATAAAGAAGCCATGATGCACAAGTTTAATAAGAACCAAACTTCAAGTACATTGTTCATTCTTTTCTTGTAAACTCCACCAAAACAATGACTCAATGATAGCACAATAGCTGACACTGTCAATAGCATTGACAATAGGAAGTGCTGTGACTGAATGAAACTGTCAACTAAAGTAACTGATAATAGTACTGGTATTCTAGCCACTAGCAGTAGACCAGGCCAGAACCGATAATCATCTTTCATTGGACCACTGTAAGCATCAATAATAGGCTTAAAATGACTCCAAAATTTTCTGAAAATTTTGAAATTTGAAAGATACTTCTCGTAATAACTATTAAGTAGAAGGAACAGTGTGTATGGTATGACAAAAACTACAGACAACAATAACCCAAATCCAAATAGTCCAGCATGCTTCCCTTTAGCATATTCAACATTAGGATCCTCATACCATAAACTAACTGATCTTACTGACTCATTTGTACAGTAAACAGTTATCTCACGCTTGTGTAGTGTAATAACAATAGTACATACTAGTTTAGTGTATGAGAGAAGGAATACTGTAGATAAAACAGGAACAGCATGAGACCCCATGAGTCTTGATATCTTACCATATCTCCTACACAATTGTATAATGATAATGATAATGATCCACAGGTAGAGCGGGAAAGCAAACTGGAGCCATTGTTTAGCATAACTGTCCATACCATTGTACAAACATATCTCAAACCCAAAGTCTAAGTTAATCCATGATATCACTTGACTCAAGGCTGGTAAGGCTCCTTTCCTTGAAAAGACTGGCTCATATAACTTGACAATGTTAGCATAGAACAATAGACCATTGAGTGTACCCACTGATACTGTTAAATTGAGAGCAATCAGTAGAACCACAAGTAGTACACCCATCACTGCAAACAGAGCAATCCAACCTATCATCATGTAATTATCATGACACTGTCCACACTTGTTTGATCCCATTAGTAGGCTGTATCCATCTCTACATGATCCACACATTCTGTGTCCTCTATTATCCACACATTGAGTCTGAGTGTCATTCAACTGAAAGGTAACAGGATTAGGAGAACAATAGAGGAGACAGTCCTCATTGATAATGCATGCATTAGGATTGGTTGCATTAGCATTGAAAGGTGTACTGGTATGATATGTTCCAATCCACAGTAGACCATTGTGTGTAATGTTTAGACTAGTTATATTACACATCACATTCTCTCTTGAAACACTTTGACTGCAAGAACAGATAGATCTACCTTGTGAGCTATCTACACTAAAACCAATGGGGCACTCATTAACAATATAATCCCAATAAATGGAATAGAATGTTTCAGTATGAAATAGCATGGTATGTATTACGTGACTGGGAGGATGGTTTGGTTTGTATTTAACCAGTGAACATTTAGAATCAGGCTTAGGTCTAGCATATACATGATCGACTGTATGAGCACTGTCTGGAGTGAGTCCATCACGTATTTCCAATATACCATCAGTGACATTTAGTAATCCAAAGTAATCATAACCAAGCAAAACTATATGATACTTTAGTGCTTGACCTGGATAAATCTGTTTGTAACTTGAATTTTTATTAACATTGCAAAAATGTATTTCCCGTACATAACCCGTTGAACTAATGTTTGGATTTGTCAAGTTGAACTGATTGTTTCCATGATTACTGGTATATCCATATATATCATCACCAAATATTCCAGCACTATTATTTATTAATGTAAGAGGTATATTTGGTGCCTCTAATATTATGCCACTACCTGATGTCTCTTCAAGATAGATCCCTCCACCTTTATAAGAAGCATGATTACCAATAAACTCCAAATTAGCAGATGATGTTAGTATTAATTGTGATGAGTCATTTATTGCTAATCCTCCTCCAACTACTCCAGTATTGTGTTTAAATTTTAATTTATTCTCTATTGTTACTACCGATGCTTCCAGTGTCAATCCTGTAGAGCAAGTGGTAGCAACAGTAACATTATTGAGACTAATAGCATTACTATTCACTATTAAATTTGCTTCATTTCCAATAAGTTCAGTATCTGTAATATTAATTTGGACTGATGTCAAAAATTTTTCATCAATGAATAAGCCTCTCCGTACGCTGTTAGCTATCAAACACGACTTCATAATAATAGTAATAAAGTGATTGCTAAGTGTTCTAGATAAGTATGTATCTTCCATTATTACAGGTCCATACCAATTATCACGAAATTGAGTGTCCTCAATTACAAAAGTAGAAACTAATTGAATCCCAGGAAACTTGCACTCAACTGATTTCAGGTTTTTATCAAGATTAATATGAAAGGGGTAGGAAAAATCAAGTACAGACTGAAATGATGCATTCTTAATATAAAACGAACAAAAGCCATCACCCAAATTAAATGCAGAGAAACTATGAAGTATATTATAGTAGTTATAAAAAATGGCTGACAGATTGTATGAAGCACCATGATAAGTAGATAGTTCCATCTTACTATAATTCAATAATGTGACATTAGTCAGTATTAGTGAGTAATGAGGTAGTTCACTGCTACATACTGGAATAGACTCATACGTAATAACTACAGCATAATGAACAAAAACTGAGGATGATACATTAATATCAAAAGCATTGTTTAATTTTATAGAAAATGATGTCTTGACAGCTTCTGTTTTATTAAATAAAGATTTAGTTATTGTAATATTGTTGGATGATCGAGCAATGACTCTAAGGTTATAAACTGAAATGTTAGAAATATTGACATGATTGCTGTTGTGAATGTGAATAGACCTTTTATTACTCCTGCTACCAATAAGACAAGCCTGATCCAGTCCGTGTAGAGTAACATTCCTTACTGCATTCATGTTGACATCATAATAGCTAATGTTAGTAGTTCCAATGAAGTAGAAGATGCTGTTATTGTATTGAGACATATCCCCAGCATACACTGATAAAGGATTACAAGGATTATGAGTAACTGAACTGCAGTCATCAGACACATAATACTGACCAGAGGAGACACTGCAGGAGCTACTGAAGAATAAGAGAACAACCACTAACAGGAGAGGCATACTCTTGCTTTTTACTGAAGTTATAAGCATGCTTGCCAATACAACATTAGGCTCTCTTATAATAGCTCAAACTCTCCAAATATGGAAGTCTATAATTACACTGTAGAGTAGTCATATGAATTCAACTTGCATTATAGCTGTCATTTTAAATAATTTCTGGTACGTATGATTGGAAATGCTAGAGTCCTCCTGTCTTCTAGTTTATATCTCTCCTTATCTGGGGACTGGGGACCTAATTGCAGGGGCATTGTCAAGGGTGCATTAATGTTGATCAGACACAACTAATTTACTACTTGAATACTGATATTGAGATGTTTTGGATCTGTTGTTAGGTGAATCATAGATAGTATATTTACTATCTTAAGGGTGAGCTAATGCTACAATAACACTTAAATCAACTTGAGATAAGGGAGGGAGGACATGTGTATGAAAACATTACTTCCAATTTTTAGATGCACATATCTAATGATTCTAAAAAAACATTCCAAAAAACATTCCAAAACATGCCCCACAAACCACCAAATTAAACTACTTGCATCTGCTCTACATACCGTAGTTTTACTTTTTATTAAGTTTGTACTTAATGGTCCATTGTTCATGTGGATACACTGAGTTACGATATATGTATTGCATATTAATTGGGACTATTTCTTTTTGTTTATGATAAGTTGACAGCTCAAATATATGGCAAAGAGCATAAAAGATTACAAAGAATTATTCTTGGCATTATCAAGAGTACTCCTGGCACATTTTGTATTGGGCACAAATCCCCACACAACATGTGAGTTATGTGTGTGTGTACTCAAAATGTCTAGTCATCCATAAAATAAGTATAATCATATGTTTCTGTATTGTTGCTACTCAAACAGAATGGTGTACATCAAAAATAAATTATATAATTTTATTCTATATCCTGCCATCACTAAAAGATATTTCTGTTATAATATAAAATAGTTCATAATCCTGACTTGATTGACCACACCATAGCACCAACTCAAGCTTCAATCCCTAGTTTGTCTTTGACTGCTTTTGCAGAGCAAGCCACAACTGAGTTCATTAGTTTGGCTATAGTCCTAATTCTTGAAGAGAAGAATCATTTTAAGTTAAACTAATATACTTACCTTTTGCAAACTGCGTGAGTTTTTTTGATTTTAACACATGTACAAACTCCTTTCTACTTAATTTACCGTCATCTAAGTGCCAATAATAATAGTAGCTATATAACATAATGGCTATGATAGATATTTGAAATAATTATGAATGTGCTAATTGATCTAACACAAAGCTAAATCCATGGAAATCAATACTTAAAACTGACTATTTTCATCAAAAATTGTAAAAAGGACATCAACAAGATGACTGCTGACAGACGAGCCAGTGATAGCCTTGCAAGCTCCATTAAGCTCAGCTTTAAAAAAAGAAAAATAATTAATAGAAAAGAGAGAGGAGATAGTTACCATACCAGGTGTCATAGAGGTTCCAGCTGCATTATACATACCCAGTGCCACGTCTATGCCGGAGAGACAACCCACCAAAATTAATGATCAAAGAATTTAACATCTTCAAAATTAACACCCTAAAAATAAACAGAAGAAATTTATCATCAAATATGCACACTGTATTAAATAAAATGCTATTAATTGAAATGTTATTGATTAAATAGTGCAACTTTTGCTACCAGATTAGGTTTGGGTCCAAATTTCTTCTTAATTCTCTTGACCCTTTGCTTCTTCTTTTGTTTACTGAGTGAGGCATAATGCAGGATCATGTGAGCAAAGTCTCTTTCACTAATCATCCCATCAACAAGATCATAACGTAGATACTACAGTACATGTACATACAATTGAGAAATGATTAATAATTATTATTTGATAGAATTTGAATAAACATGTACAAAATTAAGACATGTCACATATAGACATGTCTACATGTGTAGACATGTCTACATCAGGCTTGGGGTCAATTACAAAATTTTATTTCAATTACAATTACAATTACTAACCAACTAAAGGCAGATCAATTACAATCAATTACTGCCATAAATGAGAAAATTATAATTGTAATTGACCCCAAGCCTGATGTAAACATGTCTACACATGTAGACATGTCTACATGTCTTTTGTACATGTTTGTTCAGTATTGTTCATATTTTATCAAATAATACTTTAATTATCAAATAATATTAATCATTAATGGTATATTAATAATATTAATCATCTACAAGTGTAGACATGTCTCTTTTAATAATTATGTACATGTACATAGTCATGTCAGGCCTAGTGTAGTCACCGGTATGGTTGGTCCTGTTTCAACTTTACCATTTTTCACAAGTGAAAACGCCCACTTATTAGTATTATAGCAATAATAATGTTAATTACTATTTATAAACGGCAAAATAAAAAGGGTCGTTTGTCTATGAGTGGCAAAAGATTAGATATTCCTAGCCTTCCAGAAGAACACAGTCTCGTGTAGCCAGACTAGGAAGAACCCCATCACTAGTCTCAGACTATAATTTACCAAATAAGTTAATTAATAAGCAGTTAATTAACGACTATAAATATAATTTAAAAAGTAAAAATTTTCAGCATGCTTCGTGTGCCCAGAACTCAACCTGATCACATTCAACCTAGTGTCTATGGCCCTGCATGTAAAGGATATGATCATTTATTCCTAGTACATGCACATGTTCTTACTTTCATGAGGAGTATATCTCAATGTTGAGAAGAGTATGGAATTCTTGAAATTTTTCTATCATCAGTTTCGGTCGAGTTTCTTACCAAAAAAGTGGACTGCTAATGCTCCACTCACAGATGAAGTAAATTACTTAATATAGACAACAACTAATTAAAAATTAAATTAAAATAATTAAAAAGTAATAAAAAAATCAATTTAAAAATTGATTAAAACATAAATTAAAAATTAACTGAAAATCATTTTATGGTATTGTATTGCAGGTCACTTTCATGAGGTTGAATTAGCATTGAAAGGTGTACTAGGACTGTGATTTGTATTCCCTAATCCTCTTCAACCTACAATATAATAAACAAGTGAAAGTGAGGTATGTCATATACATATTTGTGGATTAATGACAAGTTGATCAGTGATCACAATAAAGGATATGCGTGCTAAGTGTTCATTACAAAATAAATGTATTCATTGCATACCGTAATAACTTTCAAAAAAAAAAATTCGCTGGATGTAAGTTTCCAATGGCAGCAATGATAAAACAATAGAAAAAGCCTTTGTTCTAGGAAACTGCTCTGTATTTCTTAATAGCAAGCTTTCAGGTGACTACTTGACCCCATTAAATCCTCAGAATGCTTTCTAAGATTCCAAAAAGGCCTCAAGAAGGTAGCAAGGCAAGAAAATATGTTAGTCCCATTAAAACTCTCAATAAACTTGACATCAAACATAGTGGCCAATTTATTGTGTGGGCTGGATTTACGGTACTTAAAACTTATGAATAATTTAGCATGCATATCCTCTATTACTATTTAATCAATTTTTGCACACAAAAATAAGTATGTAGTGAGCTCATATCCCACTCATTATGACATCACAAGAACTCATAAATATTCACAAACTCTCTTTGTATTTAATGCATGCTGTTTATTGTGTAATTATAATAATCAGTGTTTGGGTGTCAACACGAGGCATTGTTATCTCTCTCTAAGCGCAACATACATGTATCTGCTTTTACGTTAGCTGGCATCTCACTCACACTCTTAGAATCATTTCTCATTTGCTAAATGTATATCTAAGTAGCTGATATTTTTAACCTGATCACAACAAGCCTATTACATTATACTATTATTATTATGGAGAATACACTAAAGGTAACTCATTATGTATCGTTAACTGATTGTACATGTACATGATAAAACAGGAGGCTTACTGACCTTGCTTCCTCTACCTCTTGTATTTCTGATCTCTCTCTATCGGTTAACTCTTTCATTGTCTCTCTATTGTCTCTAAATAATTAAAAAAACAGTAAGAGGTGTATGCATAAAGCAAAAAAATCTGGTAGAGTAAAATTCTGATAAATTAGGAAAATTGAGGTATTTTGCAAAATTTTAGTCAAACAAAATCACACAGCAAAAAACAAAAACTTGGCAACTCAAGCACTCAAATGAATACAACTGACCACAAGGATAAACCGCATGAATGTGAAGGAGTGACCCCCGCCTTATCATTAACTGACTTTAAATGCAAACCTTTAAAGACTAGTAAAATTTTATCCTCTCCAAATCTATTTTGAAGCCAATTCGACAAATTTTGACCCTCCAAGCTTTCTAGCTAGAATGTATACAGTATGTGTTGATTATTACTTGTAATATACGACACATCCATAATCATAAAGTCCTAATGAGTATCTGGAGGTGATGGAATACCATTTTAACTTATTTTCAACATGAAGACAAGATAACTCAACCGGAAATGAATTAATCTAAGAGTTGGAGGAGAGAGAGAGAGAGTATCTTTAATATGCAATATCAATGATAAACATACCAGTGCACAACAGATATGCTCAACAGGAACTGCACTAAACTCAGACAGCTGTAAAACAACAATAACAACAACAATAGTAATAATAATAATAATAATAATAATAATAAAAATGATGATGATGTACGACACTGATTACATAATCAAAAATTTCTATTTTTACAAATGCTATCAGTAACCTTTTTAATAAAATGCTCTTGATAATCTTTATCCAGTATCATTTCTTCTATTGGATCAACTGAACATTGTGATGGACGCCATCTTATAACATACACCTGCATCTGTCTACGATTCTTAATCTTCTCTGGTCCTAATAAATCAATATTATTGACTTCAACTTATTATAAACATGTCAGGCACATATAAAATGAAGTAACTACTACTAGATATACTGACCTTTCAATGGTTCTACATACATTTTCTTAGTAGTATCAATTACCTCATGATCAAGATAGACTATACTAGGGGAGACTCTCCACTTGCCACGTAATCTCATTCTACACAATGAGTCAAATGATAGCCACATGATGTACTTACTTGTCTAATTCAAGGATATAGTCAATTCCTTGTGCTTTTGCTTCTTCAATAATTTGTTTCTTAAATTCTCTCACTAGTGTACCCTCAGCAACAATAGACTCCATCATAAACTTACAAAACTATAACATAAAAAATATACAAATATAACTTACAGGATTCTTACATCTGCATTGTTAACTTGTAATAAATATAGTTTAATCCTGTGCTCTCCTTTTCCTAATGGTCTACCCAGTCTTACTATCAACTAGGAGATAAACATAAAAATAATGTGTTGTTAGTAAGATAATGTGTTGTTAGATAAGATAGAAAGGGGAAGTGGATATAATAACACAAAAATACTTTTGATTGATGCATGATATTTCTTAATATCTCAAAACTCTTCAATTCATATTCTTCATTAGTATGTCTGATTCTGCACAGTCTAAAACCAGTAGCTGGTACACCAATCAGTGGAACCAGCTCCTCCTTCAATTGAGCTAACGTTATTCTCTTATCAACTTGTACCCGCACCTCTGTATTGATGAATAACATCATATTTAATGTTCTTTGTACAATTAAGTTAATATTACTTCTTTCTTTTCCTTTACTTTCTTCATCAATTGATATAATTTTCATTATTATTCCTCCCTCAGTTACATTAGTCGTAGTGTGTGTGGCTTCAGGTTGAGGAGGAGGTAGTGTAATGTTCAGTTGTATTGAGTAGACAAGGAAATCAACATATCTGTACATCAAACTATATTTGTATTCTTTTTGATAATCTTTCGGATCTGATGATGCATAGAACTTAAAAAATTGTGCAAATGTGAGGAGGGAAATAAAAAAAGAGTGAAAATAAATAATTAAAATACATGTAATTATGATACATGCAAGCTATCGTAAAAGGTGAAATATTGGGAGATTGGCATACAACCAGAGCACCTTATTTGCATGCAAATAATGACATGTGGCAGCAAATTAACAATATAAAATTCACCAATGGCAATTAATAAATCACTATAGCAATACTTAAATACAATATTACCTGTTTGCTTGGATTAAACATGCCTCCTCTATAGAGCATTTTCTCTAAAGTAATTCCTACATCACTAATATCACGAAACGTAGTACCACTCCTGTAAACATTCTCCTTCATTACTAATCTCATACATGATGAATCAATATCAAATAACTATGAAATAGACAAGATTAAGAAGGAAGAGAAGGATGAAAAGAGGAGTACACCATAAATAAGTATCCTACTTCTCCTATATGTTGTTTTAATTCTCCAACAGTCCAACCTTCTTCACCTCTGACTGGTTTAGCTGGTCCTACTTCACCAGTTGAAAGATCTACCACTGATATCTTTAGGTTAATACCTACATCATCAAATAGTAACAGCTGTAAATGTACATGTACATGCAACATTGTTAGTGACATGATCAAGGCAACCACTAACCAACTGCATGTACCCACCTCCATCATTGTATTTTTTAAATATTTCATCTACTTTACGAGTTTCTAAAAATAACCCAAAGGAATAATATCTAGCAACACCTACAATCTGTCCAATAGTTAGATGCCCAAACTAAATTTAACAATAAGATAATACAACAATAGCATACATAAAACTGTACTTCATCAAGATCAAAGGATTGATTCATTACTTCATATTTAATATCATATTTAACCAAGCGACACCTTTCAATAGGAACATGAGGAGCTAATTTCATTAACTGAAAAATAGACGAGAAGAAAAGAAATGAAAAATGGACTACATGTATAAACCTCATAAGCTTTATCCAGTACTGTGAGCAGCAGTTCATCTTTATGCACTTTAAGTGATGATGTTATTAATTCATTAGTAACAGGATGATTACAATATAATGAAAACTATAACACAAAGGACGTAAATACATGTATGTTTATTTGCTTTATTCTTACTTTACACATTTCTTCAGTTTTATGCTTGTTTTTTCTCTGCTTCTTGTTCTCAACCTCTTTCAAGTGATCTATTCAAATATTAACAATAAAATAATGATACACATCATCAACAAAACCTTTAATATCATTCATAATCTTCTCATTGTGTTCTCTTTCAGTAATTAGTTCCATATTCATCAATGTTATTCTTTCTTGTAATTTCTCTATTATTCTTTTATTATCTGCTAATGGCTGATAGTCTGGTCTTGTCATTGCTTCAAGATGAAACTTGCAGTCATCAATTTCAAAAGCCATTCCTCTCCTTACTTTGCTAGCAGCTTTAAATACATGTCATTATATATTTATTGGTATAATCAATAAAACTACTCTAACCTGAATCAGTAATATTACTAGTAAGTGATCTCAAATAATCAACCTTCATTTTTGATAATTTGGTGGACATTTCTTTGTTCTCTTCTTTTATCTCATTAAACTGAGAGCTCAATACAGTCAACTCTTCATAAAGTGGTTTTTCCTATTAATAAAGATAATGATTATAATTAATACAAGCTAGTGAGATATACATGTACAACATACCTCAATTTCTTTAATTGATTCAGTATCACTTTGAGCAGATGCCAAGTTCTCCTGAATTAAAAAATAATCAGAGACACAATATTCAGATCACAAAATGACAGCTACATGCATGTAGTTACACATGTAATACCGTATACAGGTTTATTTTCACGGTAGAAAATTTTTTGGAAATCTTGCATTCCTAAGCTTTGCAGAATTAATTTTAGCAAATAGCTTGCAGACTGCACCAAGTGGCAATGAAATGCAGAATTTTGTGGTGGAAAAATTTCTTGACTGAGCAAGAAACCACAAAATTCGTGAAAATATTTTCACCGTAAAAATAAACTGGCTATATGGTAGTGCATGCACTGAGGCACTCACTCACTCAGGCATATACTAGCTAACCTCACATACATGTACATGTACTCTCAATGCTGAGATAACTTGTGTCAATTTAATTGCTTCCTATTAAAATAATCATATAATTGCATCAGTTAAAGTCATAATGATGTACCTTCTCTTTGCTACTAATAGCATCTCTTAGTTTATATTCAGCTTCTTCCAGTATAATAACCTGTAATGATAAGTACATGTACTTGTACATCATGAATAAAAGGAATTGTATGTTTGTGCACTTATGATTTACGATAATATAACAGTGGAAGTGTATTATATTAATTAGGTGGGTCAGTGAATTTAAGAATATAAAGTTTATTCAAAGCATGTCAGTTTTGGCAGAATTAATATACTACATGTATGTCTAGAACACAAATACATGTAACTAGTCCATGCAAAACTAACTAAAAACCACTAAAGGCTTTTCAACAAAATTTCTTATCACCAAAATATGCTGACCTCTGTGTGACATTGTAGTAAGTCTTGATCCTTTTCTTTTAGTTCCTATACAAAACAATATTCATAAACAAAATTCAACTAATTCATGTACCTTTTGTCTAATATCTTGTCTCCTCCATAATGTCAAGTTACCAATAGTCAGTTTCTTTAATCCTTGTCCCATTAGTATATGAATATTCTCCATCATCCTCAATACAGTAAACCCAACATCAGAAATAGGAAAGGAGCAAGTGACAGATATTGAAGTGGAGGTGTCAATATACTTAATGATCAGTAGTTTACCAGATACTTTTGAAAGAATTTCCCTAATCTCTTCCAGCACATGTTCCTCTGGCTTCCAGTCAAAGATTAAAGTAACCAATTCACATTTCATGTGAGTAACAGAATTAAGCTTTTCTTTCAGACAAAGACTGATTGAGATTGATTTGTAGAATTCATTCAACTCTGCTCTATACGCCTTGATGTGCTCCTCTGCCTCAGTGATATTCATCTCCTCAACTACACTGTGAAGGAGTTCAATATTAGTCAGTGAACATTCATCTTTGACAAGATACAGGATACATGAAAGATCAAAACAACTCTCCATTTTCCGTTTCAGGGCAGTGCTATAATAAGACAAGAATTCCTTGATGTCATCCACGTCTAAGTTTCTTTTTAAAATCTTGCAAACGTTATAAAACATTCTTGTGTAAGACGTTCTTAGTGAGCTAAACTCCACAAACAAATGCTTTGGAAAAGGAACTTCAACTACATGTACGCATACAATTTGGAATAATAAATTAATAATCATTAAACAATTAAACTGGCAAGTGTACCTTGGGAAGAATCAGATGAAACAGGTTGAGAAGATAAATCACTATTAACTTCTGTATCAGTACCACCTACATGTACAAAAGACAAGGTAATTTACTATATATGATCAAATAGCTACATGTACATACAAGATTGTGTATTACATGTAGCTGGTATCTTGGTTTCATTAGTACTTGCATTATCTATAAAAATACCAATAACTGTATTATTACATATTAAAAATTATTGCATACCTTGTGTAGCTACATCAAGATCTTTAATAGCTTCAGGAACCACATTCACTTCAAGAGTAGGAAAATACTTACCTAAACACATAATAAACAAACAATTGTCATCAGTGATGCACACTAATAACTAACGAAACTATAAACTTAGAGTTGCCAATGATTACTCACTAATATCATCCAGTATAGTTTGTCCTAGTGATACATTAGTACTTATTGTACACAATACATTAGCAAATGTATGTAAACTGTTGGGATCAGTTTGAACAGCTTCTTTGACAGCAGTTAATAGAGCCTCACGTTGATTAGGAATAGAGGGACTAGCTGACACTACTCTGCTAACTGCTTCTTGTGTTAACATACATTCAGCATAAAGTAACCAAGCAATACCAACAGAATCACAAAGAGACTGAGACAGGACAGTATGACGATTGTTAAAAATATTAATAAGAACATGATGCTCTATGATTGAAAGTACAATGATTATAGCTACATACAGTTATGGTTGACTTACTTAACTTCTCAGCTACAGCAGTTTCATTCATAGATCGTAGAGCAACTGACAGTGAGTTCAAGTTGGCTCCTCCTCTACTGTCAACATTATCAGCTCTGCCTAACCATTGGGAGAGGCACTCTGTCATACAACGAGATACATCATGAGGATGATTCTTTTCTATGACGTCCAGTGAGCTCTTCAATAGTCTTAGTCTCAGTCCAAGCTCATACCAGTTTGCTTTAGGAAAGCCACATCTCTTCAATAAGTCAAGAACATCAACAAGATCATCAATGCTTACAGTTGAGTCTACAGTAGAGAATAAAATTTCTCTTTAGTAATAAAGTATCTATTAAAAGAAGATTATAAAATATAACACACTAGAACTGGTCCAATTCTACATTTTCTGTATCTGTACAGACCTGTTTATATGTAGTACACTGTATGCTAATGTTATATAATATACTGTACAGGTATAAAATTCCATGGGGTATTTATTTTCGTGGATTTCATGGGTAACTTCTTAACCATGAAAATTAATACCATGGAAATGCTCACTGCGCATGCGCAGCACATGAAATTCAATGACTTATAGCAAGTGCATGTGCAAAAATGCGAAATTTAACCCCCTTGAAATTAAGGAATTAAGAGCTTTTCACTAAAACACGAAATTTTATACCCTTAAAATTTTCTACCCGTACGGTATACACACACACATAGACTTTTATATCACTTCTTTAATCAATAATATAAAAGATATTTTACAAAATCGACTCAAAATTTTTATGCAATTTTTATAATCCATTGACCATGACCATTTATTTAAGTAAAATAATTAATTTTAATAAGTAATTGCACAATCAAATTGCGAAGAGGCAACTGCTCAGCTTAGCTTATCGCTCAAGAACATTTGACAAGTACATAGTTATAAGGATCAAAAGTCACACCTTTGACACACCCCAAAATGAAGGTGTAACTATCGTATCGTTCATAATCATAAATAATATTAGTGATGGGCAATCCAATTAGCAATCGATTCCAATTCCAGGAACTGAAATTGGTGGAATCAAGCAATTTGAAATTGATTACTCTGGACTCTGAATCACCCATCATTAGATATTAAATAATACTCCATTATTATCAAATATTAAAATATGGCTACATCGCCCATCACTAACAAACTTAGATTAATATTACTGAGTGCTGTGATGTCACTACAGAGTTAGATATCGCATAGTACAGTTTACCTAAACAAGTTTGATGTGTGGCCATAGTCTAAATCTAGTCCATCAAAAGTAAGCTAAGCCCTGTCCTGAGGCCAGGAACTCAGGAAGTAAAGAACAACCCTCAGTGCTCACTATGGAGTGAACAGTGAACGAGGGAGGGAAAGGAAACCTCGACAAACCAGACGTCTCATCAGCTCATTCAGAATCAGATTATCAGAAGAGAAGGTAAAGGGTTAATTATTACACAAGTTCCGCCCAGGACCGCCCTCCACGTGCAGTCTACAACTCTCGGACATAGTTTTAGACCTCGTCTTTAGTTTCCTGTTTCGCTGCTCTGTAAGTACTTGTCTGTGTGATAACCTTTATAACTGAAATCTATTAGCCTCTAGAAACACGTTACTTATTAAGAAGAAATAAGACCACTATCCGGATATTTTGATGAAATAAAAGGAGCTATTTTACACCATGGGTCTCTTATGTTTCTGTGCTTTACTAGTAGCGAAGGGGTGGGGTGAGACTAGTGCTTTACAAGATATATATTCGACGTTGGATGAAATTTTGGGTAAGCATAATCATAATTGTCTTAATTCTGTATGTACATGGAGTCATATTGTTTAATTATGCTGCCTGCTTGCTTATAAAACTCGAAACTATAAAATCTAATTGCAATGGGCTTACCGTATATTATTAACCTCCTCTTTCTTATGTACTTTATTTTGGTCTTCTTTCTCTTGGTTTTTGTGTAATTACGTTGCCTTGCCAGTCTGGTAACACTGTCTTATCTTTTTATTTGATTCTTTTTTATTGTAATTCTGACCTTTTGGGAGTTTGTCAAAAAAAGCTTAAAAATTTTGTTCGTCAAAAATTTTATCAAAACCTTAATTTCTTGTCACAGTTAATTTTTATTATTAAAATTTTCATTATTTCTATTATAATTCTGTGCTACTCGTGTTAGGGAAAATTTTTTCAATATAAATTTTGTTGAACTAAGTGCCCAGATTAATTTGAAAAGTTTTCATTATACTGTTACTCCATTTTTCACTAAAAGCCACATATCAGGATCTACATGTACTTGTATACTATAATATTACAACCTGGAACAGTACCATTTTTGTAATTATACATGTTTATGGCATTTTCTGTTGCTTGTGGTCATGTCTAAGTATTGCCTTTTTCTTGTATTTAGTATTTTTATTCTTGAATACTCTTGCCAATTGCAGTCTTCCAGCTATATAGTACACTAGCAGCTGTAATATGGTACAAAATAGCACAAAATTGTCAAGGGATATGAATTTTGCGAATTTGCCTAGAAATGTATTTGGTGTATTTAATTTTTGCAAAATTATACCGTCTACCATCTTGTACCATAATTGATTTTTGATGAATTATTTTTTACATCTTTGAAATTACTATAGCCTTTGAAAATTTTGCACTGTACGGACAGTTAGTAGCATTTTTGTTTACATGTATACCAAATAATCCCTTGGTTGATATTAGTTGAAGTATTAAAATAATGACCATTAAGATTTTAATTGTAACATGGTACATGCATGTAGTACCATTAGACACCAGTGTACATGTGTAGATTTTAGCACAGTTAATATTATGTACATCATTATCTTTTGAGATTTTATATCCGTTATCCCAGCCCATACTATCCCCAGTGGTACTTGAGTATCTATGAACATCGTAATTTAAATGTAGATATTGTTCCTCCTTAGTGTGTTTGATCCTTCTTTAGTAAGACGATGAATCTTGCTCAATCCTAACCAGAACTCACCATTAAGGTCACCAAATTCATTCTCTTAGTGAGTCCAGTATCTATAACAATCAACAGATCCGTCTTGTCTCCTCTGAAATACAGTCCATCCACCACTATCAGTCTCCATATCACAGTATACCTACTTCAAATGGAGTCCCTCCATCAGGATTAACAGTTTAAAAACCATTTGTATAGTCTCTGATATAAGAACTAAATACTGCTACAATATTTGCAGACAAGACTTCGAATATACATTAGGACAGAAAATGTATTGTGTTATACCATTTTCTTTGATAGAAAACCTATCCTTAGTTACTGCTGTTGCAGCATACCCTTATGTACAGTGATGGTTCAGGTTTATATCCAGTACTAGCCATACAATAAGATCCTTCTCCTTCATCAATGGCAGCTATTAAACACAGCAACAACATAAAGATGGTCATTCTGGAATTTCATGCATTTGGAAAGGGTTGTAATTTATAGAGCACATTTGGGATAAACCTGTACTTATACATCAGACTCTTTTTTGTTTTCAAAGTATTAATTTCTGAGTGCAGTATAGCTGGAATTTTGGCATTTTTGCTTGTATTGTTTCAGCCCATCATCATTTTTATAATTTATTATAATTAATAAATGTCAAAGCAAATATTTATTATAATCACTACAACTGTAATATTTAAATGACATGCTAATTAATATATCAGCATAATCAGTCAATCACACTTCTGTGTGTAGGGGACAGTATTTAGTTATTGCGACGAGTTTTCATCTCTGAGAACTTGAGAGTATTTTCTCCTTCCCAATGGTGCCAAACGATGCCTTGATTAGATTTAGTTGAAGTATTAAAATAACAACCATTAAGATTTGATTGATGACAGTTTTTGTACCACCAGGCACCAGTGAAAAGCTGAGCACAATTTTTTTCATATAGATCATTATCATTATCTCTTGTAGTAAATTTCCTTTTATTTTGACGCTTCATAGCATCCCCAGCAGTACCAGAGTATCCTCCTACTGTTAGTATATATTCAGTGCTACGATCACTAATGCTAAATGTAGAGAAGTTAGCATAAGCCGTGTTCCCCTCAAAGTCTCCCAGGTCCACTCTTAGTGTGTTTGATCCTTCTTTAGTAAGACGATGAATCTTGCTCAATCCTAGCCAAAACTCATCAGTAAGGTCACCAAAGCCATTTTCATAGTCAGTCCAGTATCTATAAAAATCAACAGATCCGTCTTGTCTCCTTTGAAATACAGTCCATCCACCACCATCAGTCTCCATATCACAGTATACCTGTGATCCAATAGTGTATATTGATATTCATAAAGTATAATACAAGTAAACATTACTTGGAAAGCTGGTCCATTATCTGGTTTAATAGGATATACTCCATTTTGTTTGATTCCCAGTTCTTTCCATGCTTTACAATCAGTTGGCATTACACACTCTAAAGTAAGAGAAAAGAAGATCATATGCTGTGGCTACTGCTTTGGTAACTATAGACACAATTTTTAGCACTAGTGATCTGGCAGCCCGTTTTTCTCTATAAAATAGTCTGTGCATGGCATGCACACAAACTATTTTACAAACTGGAACTTTTTATCAATAAACACTAACTCTAATTCCAAAACCTTACGATCTCAGAGGCTAAGATGTACAAGAGGGTGCTCTTAGATCTAAATACGAAACCCAACTCTATGCCCCAGAGGCTATGGTATATGAGAGGGTGTTTATTTTGGGACCTAAACAAACCAAGAAGGTGAAAAAAGGAAAGGGAAAAAGAGGAAAAAGGCCAATACACCTGGCATGATGGCATTCTACACTACAAAGTAGTCCCAAGTGGATTCAAAGCCGTCCCCACACCCAAATTCCATCCCGAGCTGCCACTGCGATCTTTCTACCACATTCACGCAGATTTTTATATTTATGCTTGTTTTTTGTGTATAAGACAAAGCCCCTATATCCTAGCAATTGCTGGATCTCTAGCTGTGTAAACTGTGTCTGATTGCTGGAGCAATAGACACTTTGAAAATCATAATTAGAAGCATAAAATAAGCATAACTTTTACTGTTAATATAGTCTGTACCTGGTGTTGCATTGACACTTGTGTTAGTAATAGTAACAACTGGAGAATTCATCTTCTCATCATCAGGACAGTGTCCATTGACAGTATTAATAATAACAATTATTATGATTAAACTGCACATCAGTTTAGCAGCATACATGATGCTTAAGACCCTTGAAAGCAAAATTAATTATAATTAAAGGGCAGTAGTATATAGTCAAGTAGAAAGAGATGTACAGGCTTTCTTCTTTTATAATAAGCGAATCCTTCATAATGCTTGTGGGAGTAAGGATGTGTAATGGTAATATTAGATATTATTTTAAAATGTAATTGTAATTTTATTTGACCCTATCTCTTATGGATGAGTATTGTTGGGTTAAGAGTTAAGGCGGATTTACAATATGACATTAGGCCAGCGTACCGTCAATTTTTAATCAAAAGCGTGGGCGATTTGACCTTTTGACGCATGCTTTCCGCTGGAATAGAACCAGATTCTATTCCAGCGTCAACGTAACGTCAGGACTAGCGTAATATTGTAAATCCGCCTTTAAGATTGAACCATAATGTTTTTTATACCATGGTGTGTTGGTGGTTACCATGGAAACCTTTAATGTTTAGTGGGAGTTATATGCCCATAACCACTGTTGAATTTGGCAGTTTACATAAGAACAATACTGCAATACTGTACCATGGTAAAAGTCATGTACCTCCCTGTCTGGAGGTGGTTATGAGTACAAAAGTCCCTTGAGATACATGTATGGTCTTGGGCTTTTCCCTCAACCACTTATCTCACAGGGAGTGATGTACCCATAACCACCTACAGACTGGGAGGTATTCTATACTTAGTCTTCAAAATGTTTTTCATTTATTTTCATCAATGTTTCTTGATTATTTTGTTGCAAGAATAAATTTATAATTTATTTTTCTTGGCATTCCTTGTTTTTTCAAAGTTTTGTCACTTGTAAATTAGCTTATTTTACATTAAATAAACACATTTTATCTTTTGAATAAATTTATTTAGTTTAGCATGTGAATTAATATTACACCTCTGGAAATACCATAGACGTGCAGGGTTCTGCCTAGAAATAAATTAGAGGTGGTTGCAGACTAATATTGTTCCTTTTAAATTTATATACACCATACTACTGAACTACATTATCATGTTTTATGTACATGTTTGGTAATCATTGCATGGTTGGTCTAAGTGATTAACTGGTTGGTTCATGTGTTGAGGTGGTTGTCCCAACTCCCAACCACCATAGGCAGAACTTGTAATAGTGTAAATGTATTCCCAGAGGTAGAGTATCTGTCATCTGAATCACTGGCCCAGTCTGCATCAGAATAGCCAAACATTGGTTTATCATTACCTTTGTAGTTAAGTGACAAGTTAATTGTCCCTTTGATATATCGAAAGATTCTCTTGACAGCTTTAATATGGGCCTCTGTTGGTTCAGAGTTACACTCACAGCATGTGCTACATGTATATCTGGACGAGTTGCTCTATCAGCATGAAGTAGGCCTCCTACCATTGACTGGTATAATACCTAATTGCTACTTCCATCATTCTTTACTAGCTTAACATTGTAGTCCATAGGTGTAGCAACAGTGTTAGCTTCTGATAAACCATATTTCTCCAGGAGTTTCACCAAGTATTGATTCTGACTTAATGAGACACTGTTTTGACCTATATGGACATTCATTCCCAAACAATAGTGTAACTCACCCCTGTCTTTCATTTTGAAAGTACTAGAAAGAGATGTCTTCATCTGCTGCATTTCCTCCTGTGTCTCAGCTAGTAGGATTAGATCATCGACATAAACAGCTATTACTTCAACCTCTCTCTTTTATTGATTCGAGTGAAGACACAAGGATCAGCAGTGCTCTCTTTAAAACCAAGTGACTTCATGTGGCTTGTAAACTTCTCATTCTAGCGACGTGGAAATTGTTTTAGTGATTTGTTGAGTTTGCATACCAATTGCCCTCTTGAGCAAAACCAGGTGGTTATTTTATATAGATTTCTTCTTTAAGGTCACCATTTAAAAATGCTGTGATTACATCCATTTGATGAACTAGCATTATTAGCATACCTCTTTCACAAGTATAGTTCGAATAGAAGAGAAACGAGCCACTGGTGAGAAAGTCTCTTTATAATCTACTCCATACTTTTGAGAGTATCCTTGCATGGGCATTGAGTCTGCCCTTGAGTCAATCTACTTTTCCATCACCATCATACTTGACCCGAAATATCCATTTACAGCTTATGGCTTTCTTCCTCTCAGGTAGCTTCACCAGCTCCCATGCATTATTCTCCATCAGAGAGGCATACTCTGCTTCAGCAGCCTCTCTCCATTCCTTTGAGTGTTTCATACTCATAGCATCCTGGATTGTTGTAGGCTCATCTGCTTGACATACATAATGGCATAGTCATGAATTCCATATCTTACAGAGGGTCATTTAGGCTGTTTACACGGCAACAAAAAGGATTCAGTCTGTCTAGTTTTGTGACTGTTTCATGCTTCTGTTTACATGGAAACAAATGAAAATGTGATAGAATCTTGATAGAACTCCATGGAAACAAAAACCAGTGTTCAAAGTGTACACAATGCTGTGTAAACCTAGCTTTAGTTCTTTGAGAACGTCTTGGTTGAGGTTGTGAGGGTTGATTTACCTCCTCCTCTGAGTTGTCTCCTGTTATTTAGAGTCCAACAGGATTTCCCCATTGACCATCTCTTCATTTGGTTTCTCATTTTTTCGCCAAATTTTCCTCATTAAAGACAAGCTCATGTCTGGTGTAACACCTCTGCTTGACCTCATCCCACACTTTGTAGTTTTCCTTTGTCTCAGTGTAGCCTATGAATTTTTACTTCGTGGCTTTCTTGTCTAGCTTCCTATGTCTCCAGCAGGGATGAGAGCTTACACTATTCAACCAAAGGTGCAGAGGTGTTTTAGATTTGGCTTGTCATTAAACCACATCTGATATGGAGTTATTCCATTTTTAGTGTTGATGTAGCTATTTTGTTTTCAAATAAGTAGTAGTAGAGACAGCCTCTGCCCAATATGCATTACTGAGACCTGCATGTATCATCACAGATCTTGCTGCCTTACCCAGAGTCTTGTTAAGTCTTTCAGCGACTCCATTCTGTTGAGGCGAATAAGCAGCAGTAGATTTTTGTTGTATTCCATATTATGCTAGATACGATCTGAATTCTTCAGACATGAATTCACTCACATCCTCTGTCTGTTTCTGTCTCTACAATAGCCTTAAATTCCTTAAACTTGTCAAACGATTCAGACTTATGTGGCTCTGGAGTTTCGAATTCTTGATAATAGTGGAGCACATGCATCTTTGTTAAATGTGATGTGTTTGCTTGCTCCTGAATCAAGGTTCCATTCATGATTCTCTGTGTCAGCCATATGTGCGTTGGCAAAAAACATCTGAGCTCCTGAGTCTGAGTCATTCACTTCAGCCTTTATCAGCATGGTGCTTTAATGGAGCCTTAGTTGACCTCTGATGCGAGGACTTTTGATCCGAGTATTGCTTAGACTTGTAAGTACTAGGCTTCTGAGAGCTACGGCAATCTCTTTGATAATGGCCAGGTCATCCACATTTAAAGCACACACCAGGCTTTCGTCCTGTGTCTTCCTCTTAATGCTGCATGATCTTCACCATTAGTTGCTCTTTGTCAAGCAAGGCTCTCTTGACACACATGAAAGTGAGTTCTTCATCTATTCTTGCTAGTAGAGCCGTCACAAGAGTTGGATAGCTTTCTTGCACGCTCCTCAGTAGTATAGCAACTTTGTTGAGCTTGCTTACTTCCTCTTCTAGAGCTATCAGTTGATCAGAAAGTTCATCTAGCTGTCGAAGGTGATCCTTTAACTTTCATCCCTTCTTCATCCTCAGCCCGTATAGCTGCATCAAGGTGTAGACCTTGTCACTCACTGTTTTCCTCTCAAACACCTGACAGAGCGTGTCCCACAGTCCCTGGGGATCTTTGCACTTCATCACAGGCTTCTGGCTGATGCATTGAAGGATTGAATAAAAAGCCTTCTCCTTCTTTTTCTTGTATCCTTGACTTGTATCCTTGACGTCCACAGTCAGCATTTCCTATGGCAAACTCCCACTGCTCAGCTGCCTTCAGAGCATGTGTTACTTGGAATTTCCAAACTGGCCAGTCTTTTTGTTGTTTAGCTGTAGTATCTGAGCAAGGAACTTATCCGTTGTAGTAGCCATCATCTTTTTTTTTACGCAGTAGGGAATGATGCTAGTTTCATTAATTGTAATAGTTTGTATTGAAAACACTGATCTACCAAAGTCCAAAATGATAGAGAGGAAAAATGATTGTGTGTTTGTAAAAGAACCAGAACTGCATGAAACAAAATCAGCTATATATATACATGTGCATAATAACTGTGGTCACAACTAATGAATCACATTATATTACAATAGAACTAAAGAAGTGGAATATTTCACTGCCTTTTTTATTTTATTTTTAAATTTTTACTTGTTTTTATTTAACATGTGAACTACTAAATAATTTATAATTATTAACAAAAACTTAACTGGTTTTTAATTTTACTTTTTTGTATCATTGAATTAAAGTCACCTTAAATATAATTCCAGTTTAATTTTAATTCATCATGTGTTGAATCAATGTATTTATGTCATTATTTATTTATTTATCGTTGTAGGTTCTGCATCTTATTCTAGTGGTGTACATGTATGTTGATTATCCTGGTCCCTCTCCCACATCCCTCAGTCAGATGTATGCTGCATTCAACATTCAATAGAGCAATATGCAATGCATAATACCTAAGCTAAGGGCCTGCACTGATCCATTCACTACTAATGCAATGGTAGAGTTATTTACAATATCACAGGTAAGAGAGAGGTGAGAGAGAGTAAGGTACGGTAATATAGTTTCATTGCATTTCTTGCTTAAAATTTTAATTCTGTGGACTGTGTACTAATTTTAGAGAATTTGAGTGATCTATAAAACACTATAAATTAAAGTGGTACATTAAGTAACAAAGTTTAATAAAAATACAAAAGTTTCTAATAATTATAAGAGATAGTACACACAATGAAAATTGGTAGTAAATTTATAATTTTGATTTTGTCATTTTTACTAGAAATGAAGTTTCATTCTCTCTCACCTCATGCTAATTTCTCTCTGTTCCTTGCAGTGGAAGTCAATCTTAAAGTATGGCACACCTATTTTGTATAACCTTAACCACACCCACTTTAGATCCTCATTAATCTTTTTGAGAACCTCTCAGATCCTGATTTGATCAGGGCCTTTGCTACCGTACTTGTCATTAGAATGTGTGGGGAGCCACATGAGAGGACCCAGCCCTGGTTTGGTTATATGCCATATATTACAAGAGAGACTAGGATATGCACCAGTGGTTTGATTAAAAAGTGAGTGTATTGGTGGGTGTGGTTATTTTACTGACTTCACCCCTAGGTATGAGTTTAATGAGTCTGATTTGGGAATGGCTTGTGGTAGGCTGGACACTAAAACAGTGAAAGACTATACTACCAACTGATGAGATATTCTGGAGTGCTCGTTTCTTTCAGTGTATTTATGGTGGACGTATTGATGATGAATTTGATCAGGTAAATTGTGTATACATGTACCGTATGTCCTTAAATAAAAGCTGGATGTGAATAAACGTGGGGATGGGGAAGCAATAGAATTGAAGTATAATTACGTAAATTTAGCCTTAAAATAACAGAGATGCCTTGTTGATACTTCCTTAGGCTCCTGAAGTCATGTGCTTGAGATCACTTGTTCAAATCCCACTCTTGGACCAAGTTTTGTTTTATTTTTAAATTTTTTGAGGTCCAAGTGTCATTTTAAGGAATAGATGCCCGGGCTTTTATTTAAGAAAATATGGTACTTAAGTTGTGTAGAAATTTTGAGCTGAATCCAATCAAAATTGGTTTTTTTAATGAATTTTAAAAGTTGTTTTGAAATTTGACCAAACGCCCTAAAGGAAAGCTGTTCGAAAGAATTGTCCATACTTTTACATTTCAAAATGGTTTGAAAATATTCCATTATTTCTTTATAAACTTCTTCATGTTCAAGTACCGTATAGCTAGTAATTTTTGTGGTTACTATATTTCGCGAAATCTATTAAAATTTCAATTTGTGGATTTTATTTTTTGCAAATTCTACCATATGTGCGATGCGTGTACTGTATTAAATTGATTTTCTTGGATTTTATTTTTGTGATTCAGGATGGAATATGCGAAATTTGCAACCCTAAAAAACCCACTTATACAGTAGTTTCTTCAATCATAAATTACCAGCACATAAGGCTTTGTGGTAAATAAATCTTGGTTAGGCATGCCTGCTCATATGTGTGATTGTTATACGGTGCGCATTCTTGCATGCATCCTGCGCATGTTCATGCCTGCTCTCACGTAATCGCTTATGTATGGTATTTTTTCAAATTTTCTGTCAATGTGCCTCTTAATTTATGTGAGAGACAGCGAAAAGCAGTTTCAACCATGAGGTGTTGCCTTTTCTAATTGTCATCAAAATATTTTAACAGCCTCCTTCTTGTGCTTGGAGCCACATCATTATTCTTAAGAAAGGACTCCAAATCTTGAAATAGCTCCATCTTTTGACTTATAACTTCAAATCTACGTCACCATCTTGTATAGTCAGTTTCAGTTGGGTTTGACACGAAGTTTTGGTCATCAAAATGTCACGTGTAGCCCCGCCCACACATGCAAATAAAATGGCTGAAACTGCAATGTGCTCTCTTTTTCTTCGTCTAACTCCTTGAAGTTTGGTTTTGGGTGCTATTTCCTCTACATTTTACCTGCAGGATTTTTGTCCTTGTTGTTACTTGAAAAATGGATCAAGAAATGCGAGATTACATGGGTTTTTTTAGCGGTAAAAAGTGACAACAGTTATGAAGGATTGGAGAGGTAAAGCAGATAAACTGAAGCTTATTTCTGGAGTGCAAGACCTAGTGAAGTATCTCTTAGTTTGGAGCATTCCTTTTCCTTTACATTATTTTGAAACAAATAAAACACGATTTTTGACAAGTGTAATGAGATGCAAATGATATTCTCAAGCATAATACGCAATAGAACATCATGGCGGCTTCTTTGATGGAGACTGGATGAACCTGTTGAGAACCTTCCAGAGTACCCAGTAACTCCAAAGTTAATCCAGATATGTATAAGTACCCGTTATGCAACTATAGTAGAGCCACACTGACTTTGTCAACTCTGAATTGAAATAACTTTCTTATTTAATATACTACAGACAGTGGCTTTTTTCCATGATACTTTTCATGAGAAAGCGGGTGTTTTAATATATGATACAAGTAGAGCGC